CTGGCCAACTGGGGCCATGAGGGTGCCCAGACTGTTGCTGTCTGCTGATGGCATCCAAGAAGAGGCAGATGTCACAATCACAAGGACTTCGCCTGCATCCTGTTTGTGCAAGTTGGGGGTCATCTAGGCCTTGACTTCTTTATCTGTACATTCCACTCCAGCTGTTCTGAGCTAAGTCTCTTCCTCCTTCTGCTACCCTTTGATATAAAATTTTCTCCCTACATTGCCCTGGGTGCAATCCCTCCAGCTCTGAAACCCCACCCAGCAACTAGCCCCAATAAATCTCTCTTCTCTAAGATTGTTAGTGTGGGTTCTTTTGGCAACACCTTACAGGCTAGCCTAGGTCTGGGTTGGAAAAAGTAGTTTCAATTTGCTTCTGGTGTAGAGGGGTGGTTTCAAGCAAATAATTGGATATTCATCAGTCTGTATTTCACAGACCCAAACAGCTAAAGAATTATTGGCCCAAATTATAAATGAGTTTTAGACCCTCATTTGCTTGTTTTTGGTAAGGGTTGTAATTAATGACTGCTATAACCACAATCAATTTAATCCATTTACTTCATTCTTATTCATGTATTCTTAAAGGGTAAGAGGACAATGCCTTCCAAGAACAAATACTCAATTTGACATGGTGTAAGGAAAATGAGTTAAGATCAGGGGCCAATACCTTTAAATTCCGTTTTCCACCATTCAGATATCTAGCAAACACAACATATGGGCCTGTCACTTGCAACAATGCATTAGTTATATGGTAATGAACTCTTAACAGTGTAAAGGGGGCTAGGCACAGGAGTTGCTATTCTGCTTTTTTCAGAGTTGGAGCCTCTTTAGCTCTGGCTGCCTGCCTGTGCCTGTGGTCCCCTGTTTCAGCATTGAAAGGACTGCAAAATGCACTGAAAGCTCCAAATTCTCTTTTCATCTGGGAGAATTGACAATGAACCTACCTGACCTGGGATGGTTACACAACAAATGGTTATTCCCAGGTTCACTCAGAAGAAATTTATTGGATGTTGTCAGATAAAACTGTGCAATACTTCCAGGGATGGTTACTATAGAAGGAGGAGAAAAGGAATAAAAAAATGAGATCTGGGTATGACTGTTTTTTCTTCCTGGATGACCAAACAGATGTTGCATCCTTATGAAAGCTATTAAGGAGAGGGAATATATAATAAAGTATATCTTTCATTCATCAGAATTTATGGACTTTTCAATTAAAAAAATTTGACTAGGAAAACAGATTGAATTGCTCACGGGTGCAGCAGGATTAGTCATAAGTTGAAAATAGGGTCATATGAGTCTCATGGGCTATAGAGGAGGAAGTTAATAGGGGATGAACCAATGGTATAGAGATTTCATGGTTGAGAAACAGGAGAAATATAAGCAGCTAGTGTGAGTGGAAAATTTGGAAAGTAAAAAATCTAGAGAAGATTTGAGGCATTACCTGTTTAATATATGATGCAGAGCATCTGCATGGACTCCTTAATAAAATTTAGGTATTATTCTTCAGTACTTCAGCAGTCAGTTTATGTTACCTGAGAATGCTATTCTATGCTTGGACTGTACCATGTGAAGCTTATTTTATTCAGGTTACACTCTAAAATATGATCATGGACTGCTCAAGAAAACTTTCCTTGATTGGCTGCCCCCTTAAATTATTATCTCTACTCAGTTTTAATGGCAAAGTTCAACAAATGATATTGCTTTTTTTCCAACAAAATGTAATGAATATAATAAAGATTAAAAACAGCAGTCATATTAAAACATTTTAATATATAAGACACTGGCTTAATGATTTACATATATTAATTCATTTAAGCTTTATAGCAATACTACAAGGAAGGTACTATTATGTCTTAAATTAGAGAATGTGCATTATCTCTTAAATTAGGCACAGCACTTACATAACACATTTAAGTTTACACAGTTCAGAAGTGCCAAAGCCAAGATTTGCTGACCTGGCAATGTCCAGGAAATTTCTTCAACACTCTAACTCCAGTGTCTATGCTCCTAATTACTATTCAAATTATTATACTTATTCACTGGTGGAATCATGCACTTGCTCAACTTCAGAAGGTTAGACATATAGTTATCACTTGACCTATCAATTGCACTCCTATGTATATTCTTTGTTGAATTAAAAATATGTCCAAAAGTTTGTATATAAATATTCATAGCAACATTATTCATAATATCAAAATGGTGGGACAATCTAAATGCCCATCAATTTTGAATGGAAACAAAATGTGATATATCCATACACTAAAATACCTTTCAGCTATAAAGCTGTTGAGATAGCAGGTGAGGTAGGGATTGCCAGTGGATAGAAAAGAGGAAGAATGGCTTGTGGGTTCTTAATGGTACATTGTTTCTTTTAGAGGCTATGAAAATGTTATGGAATTAGATACTTGTGATGGTTGCACAACCCTCTGAAGGTATAAAAAGTCATGAAGTTGTACATTTTAAAATGGTGAGTTTCCATACAATGGATGAGGGACTGATCACAATGATATACACAGAGCTCACACAAATAAACAAAAAGAAAGCAAACAATCCAGTCAAGAAGAATTAAAAGACACTTCTCCAAAGAGGAATTGCAAATGGCCAATAGACATACAAAAAATGTTCAACATTCCTTGTAATCAGGGAAATGTAAATCAAAACCACCATGAGATACCACTTCACACCAATGGAAGTGGCATATATGAAAAAAACTAATAACAACAAAAGTTGACGAGGATGCCATGAAAAAGGAACTCTCCTATAGTGCTGGTGGGAACATAAGCTGGTACAAACACTACGCAAAGATGTATGGAGATTCCTCCTACTATTAAAAATAGAGCTACCATATGATCCAGCAATTGATCTACCCAAAGAACAACGACAACAAAAAATTAATTCAAAAACATTAATTCTCCTCTATGTTTATTATAGCACTAGTTAGGGTAGGAAAAACCTGGAAACAACCCAAATGCCCAAAATTAGATGATTTTATCAAGAAGAAGTATATATATGTATATATATATACATATATATATCTTATACACACACACACACACACACACATATGGAATACTACTCAGCAATCAAAAAGATAAACTCGTGCAATTTGCACCAGCATGGGTGGAGCTAGACGGGATCATGAGAAATAAGTCAGAAGGAAAAAAGAAAAATATCGACAGGTTTCACTTATAGGAGGAATATAAAAGAACCAAGTAAGACATAGGGGAGGGGCCCCTGGTGGCACAAGGGGTTAAAGTGCAGCACTGAAACAAGCCACAGCCACCTCAGTGCAAGTTCAATCCCCAGCCCCAGAGGTGACCCACAAAACACGGCAGGCCTCTCCTGACCCACCCGCTGTTCCCCTCAGTAGTGTACTTCCCTGATCTGCCTGTTCTGCTCCCTGCTGTCTCTGATGAATCCTCTCACCCCCCTTGCACCTCTGGCCTGTATACACCCCAGTTCTGTATGAATAAATAAAAAAAAAATTTAAAGATATAGGGGGGAAATTGTTTTGTTATTACAAAACAAAACAAAAACAGACAATTATAAATCAGAGATATCTTATAGGGGAGGGGACAGAGAGGGAGGAACAGGAAGGAGGGAGGAATGTGGGGGACTATGATCACCAGCAGGCAAAGTGGGGGAGGAGGGAAGTAAACATTGTTTTAAAATGAACAATAGTGCAAAGAGATATATAAATTAATAAAAATAAAATGATAAATTTATCGTATATAAATTATATCTTCATTTTGAAAATTCTAGGAAGAAAGAGAACAGAATCTGGTAAATCTGCAGCTGTCATTATACTCTACTGCCGCATAGTGTTACTGTTGAGAAATGACCCAAATCCAAACAAGACTGAACAAAGATGCTCTGCTAGTTCAGATTGTGCCCAGGCTATTGTTCCCCATGACTGAAATGTAAGGTTAAAACTCAGACTGTGTTCTTCAAAACATGGCTAGCACCATTCCAGAGCAGCTTAATACTGAAGATCTTCTAATCTCAGTCCCACATTATGTATTCACTACTTGCCATCCTTTACAGATTTTCTTGACTAAATCTGGCTCCTAGATTGATGTAGAAATATACAGTATTTGTGAAAACATCTCTGTTAAAAGAAAATACCACCAAGAAAATCCTGGACTTTAAAAAAATATTTTTCAAAAAAGGTCAAAAGATATAATCTTTTTACCCCACATTCTGTAAAATGTGTTTAATATTTTTGCCAATGTTTCCCTTAATTCCAGTGAAGTTCATGCTATTCTCTCCCAAGCCATCTAATAGCTAAGAACAGAGAGCCAACAGCTCCTCAAGTATTCTTTTAATGAGGCTGAGATTATTCATTATAGCAACTGCTGTTGGGAATAGGGAGTAGCAGGGGAGAAAAATGGTTTTGTCCAAAAAAAAAGTAATTAGTAACTGTTCAAGCCTTCTCATTACTGTCTTAACCTTTTTGTTATTTTATACTGGTAATTTAACAGATTTGGCTGTATCTGTGTTGAACTTAAAAGGAAAAAGGGCAACTTTCAACATTAAACCTATTATCTACGTTAAAAGTCCTCCAACATGTTTATTACCACGGACTATATTTTTAAGTGACAATTTCACGCGAGATGTGTTCTTTTCTAACGTAAACCCAAGTGTGGTAGCTGATACAATTCTGGAGAATAACTGGCCCATTAAACTATTTCAATAGAGTCTTAGTTTAGCAAGCATGTTCCCTTTTATACTTGGGTAAATGACAAACTTCACTGCAGCCTCCAAGCGAAGTTTCCATTCTGCTTCCTCATTCTCTCCACAAAATCTGACCACTAAGTGTCTCAGAGTCTGAATTTGCCTCTTTGATCTGAGCTGTCCAAGCTGCCAGGCCTAGACCTTGACAGGGTTCTGTCCGGCCTACGAGCCCTTTAAGAAAGCAAGGGCAGTACTGATTAATTGAGGGTGGGACTCCACAGTCTTGATCAGCCAATCATGAGGCTCTATGGAGCGAGGCTTGGTCTTTGTGCTGGTCTAAGAAATTCCGGGACCTGGAGGCACTCGCGGCGACCACTGGGTTTCCGCCCACAGCCGCGTGAGTACGCGCCGGCTGCTTGGGCTGAGTTGGTGGCGGAAAGGTAGGGAAGTGTGCTCGCAAGGCCGAGACTTACGACACTGAGTTTTGGGATCCGGGCTTGCCCGGCGATGCTGGGTTCGGGCTGCTTCTGGGATCTGGCCTTCTGGTCTCAATTTGCCCTTTATATTGACCGGTGTAGCCAAATCAGGTTCCAAAAAGCCGGTTGCAAGGACCCATGGCTTATCCAGAATGACTATAATCGAGTTAGGGAAAGTAGGAAGAACGTTATCAACGGAAACCAACACACCACTGCAGGAAATACCCGTTACAGCAATTGGATCTAGAGAGCGAAGGTGGAGTTGAATTGGGGAAAACCTTCCGGAAGCTGTAGGTTCAGGGGTGGAATTTGCGGGAAAGTGGACTAGGTTGATTGGAAAGGAAAGACTTTTTGAAAATGATAGTAATTATGCAACCAGTCAAAATGTAGTTAATGTGTCATTTGGTCAGGAAATGAGTAAGTGAGAAAATTTGGTTCACCGAGGTGATGGATTATAGAATTAATTCATTTTTTATTTGAATATGTAAAATCAGATCCAGGTTGCCTGGAAACTTCACTTCAGAAATAGCACGTCTCTTTGTTGTGGAAGCAAGGCTAGAGCGCGAAAGAGAGCGCCTCCTAATGTCCAGTAGTAATCAAAAGAAAAATGAAGCCCAAGGGACCTAAGTGAGCATTCTCAACCCACTGAAATACACTGGTATGGAAATTGTAACTACCAAGACAGTTTCATCAGTAAGGAAGTGATGGGAATTTTTAAGTCTTACCTTAAAACATTGAGTAGATTCAAAGTTAACCCTATTGCAAAATGATTTTGGCTATTTTCTTACAAATATTTTGTGAGTGGAAGTAAAGAAAACTGAGCAGTCTGTGGACAACCTAACGAAACTCCCAGCCGGGGACATGGGTTTGTCAGTGTAAGAAAGGAGAGGAAGTCTGAAAATTGTCAACTCTGATGAAGTTGATACGACATGATACACTCATTTTCCCGTGTGGTCTCCCACTGGGACCATGAGGAAACTCTTCTCCCTGCGTGGTTTCTCCTTTTAAGCCTTGGGAGCACCCCATGACATATCCAAACTAAAATCTCGACCCCATGGAACAAGGCACAGGAAGGCAAGCCTAAATCTTAACTTTCCAGATCATTTCTTTTCCCTTGGTGACTAGCAAGAAGTCTCTCTCTCCACTCATATATGGAACATGCTAAAGACACAGCTCTGTGACACAGGGATGTGTATATGTAGAGGAATAGGTTTAGAATGGCCTGAGCTTTGGTTTTCTTGTATCATTTATACCCTCTGCAAACATTATGGTCTGCTGTTGGAGGCAATTGACATGGGCTGCCAAAGTTTGGATTAAGGAGACAACCTCTGCTAGATATGCCCATCCTCAGTGGGTGGTCTCTAACTCTGGTCACAGGATGGAATGTGGCAGTGGCAGAGAGGGAGGGAAACCTCATGCCCTTCCAACCCTGTGCAGTGCTGAAAGACCAAACTGACGCCATGACAGGCTTCAGAATGCTTCTGAACCAGCCAGGCCTAAGTCTCGGTTATCAACAAGGTGCCAAGGCTGAGTTTAACTGTAAATGTCCTAATCTTGCTCATCCCATAGCAACAGCCAATCAGCAAGTAGGCAAGTAACCAGTACATATCAGAAAGCACTAGATGTCCTAAGGTATGCGGGCCGAGTAGCAAAGGTAACATCTTATATGCATAGACCAACCAGGTTAAAACAAGATAACTTTGTTCAATGTCAACTATCAATGTACTGCTGAGCTAAAACTCCCCTCTGCTGAGCTGAAACTCCCCTCTTCTGTAATAAAAACCCCACCTTCCCTGAGCTCTCAACTTCGGCCACTGCATGTTGGGAGCCCAGGCTCAAGCTTGCAATAAAGACCCTCATGTGCTTTGCATCGGAATCAGCAACTTGGTGGTCTTTAGGAAATTCAAAATCTCAGCATAACAGGGCAATACCTCTGCTCCCCTGTAAATGGCTTGGTCTCTTGAGCCCAGCACTGAAGATGATTCTAGCTCAGAGGTCCCTATCACTTGACAATTTTTGGCCATAATACATGGAATCACTGACGTCTAGCTTGCAGTTCCCACTAATCTGGGGCACCATTCTGCCTGATATGAAATGCTCTCCCTTTCTCCCCCTTTAGCTCCCTAGTTAGCCAGAACTTAGGATTTTTAAAAATAAATAAATAAATAATATAATAGTTTATTTTTACATCATTTTGTACATTTTCCCATCTCAGTTGTAATCCCCATGGGTTTCCTATCACCAAATCACCCGTGTGCCATCACCATAGTCCAGTGCATTTTCCTTCCCCCGCTGTTTTTTGATCCCATTCCCCACTCCACTCCCATAAAATGTCTCTGGTATATAACTGTTCATTACTATTAGAACCTAGGATTTCTTAGTGAGGAAAACAGAACCTCTGTTGGGCTTCCTACAGATTACTGTGACTAATGGATAGGAAGAATTAGGAGTGGCCATACTGACCTGAAATTCACAGCCCTGCTCAACAGTGTAACAGAGCATCAGCAACCTTGTTGAGGAGGGTAGAACAGGTGTAAATTCCCTGAGTTTTGCAGTCTTCTGAAAGTAAAACCAGCAACCAACTGAAGGTCTTTTTGTGCCTACCCAGTTAGTTTAAGAACAAAAATTTGAGCTGTTGTCTACTTAGTATTGACAGCCAATTTAAGAACTTAAGTGACATAGATAGTATTACATATTCATTTGTAAATTATTTCCCGGTACATTTGAATATCCTCATTCCTCATCCCCCTCTCCCCATCCTCCTTTTTGAGCATTTCAGTAGCAGTTTGATGATGAAGACAAAGGTAAAACTAGAGAAGCACGACTAAGGGCTGGCTACCAGCAGTAGATGAATGGAAATAGGGGGTGTGTAGGAGGGGCAGGGATTATAGGAAGAATACTGATATACTGACCTTAAGATGCCTATAACTTCCTACAACACAAATGCAAGGAAGCACAGAGAAGTCTGTCCTCAGGGTACACAATGCATCTTCTGAATTACCCCTCCTCAAAACAAAGGATCTGCCATTCAGCTGTACAGAGGAATGTGCTTGCTTTTGCAGCACAGACATAAAACTATACAGAAGGAAAGAGGATGAATGGCATCAACCTTGCTGCTCACAAAAAAATGAGAGGGTTTATTTGTCTTTGATATTCAGTACTTTAAGATTTACAGTGGGAAGAAAAGTCAGGAAATATGGAGTCATTATTTACTTAAAAGAGCTGAAGATTTTGGAAATCATCTAGTTCATTCAGCTGTTCTCAGGTGAGTAAATGACAGGCCAGACTGATTATGCTGCCACAATCATATGCAAGTTAAGGGCCAGGACTAGAATCCACAATTTATTCCCAGATTAGAAATTTTTCTTTTTCTTACTTTGTCATTAGCTCATGGTAGCCTGGAGCAGAGCATATGAAGATGTATGTAGAATACATTGTTATAATCCTTGCATTTTTACACTTAGGTCAAGATGGGGTTTATATTTTCAAAATCTATGAACGAGAACATGAAAGCCCAACAGGAGTTCATGCTTATGAATGCTCAACTTCAGGTACATTTTCAAATTCTTAAGCATTTATGTTGTTACAGTGGTTAAGGTTTCTGTGATGTGTGTATATGTGTTTGATCTCCAAACGCACTATCCTCAAAGCCAAGATGAACTGCTTTGCTATTATCTGGCGAATGGGTTTATTTAAATCTCTGAACTAGGTGTTTGTGTAAAACTTTACATAGTGCAATGAATAACTTTATTGTATATGATAGAGAGGATAATGGCCCTTCCTTCCCCAAAGATATTTGCATTCTAATTCTTTTTCAATGTTTACCTTACATAGTGAAAGTGATTTTGCCAGGTGATGAAGGAGATGGGTGAGGTGCTGGATGAGCCCAGTCAACTGGATGGGCCATTATCATCACTCTGGTCTTTATTAGGGAAGAAGGGAAGCAAGAGACTTAGAGAAAGAGATTACAATACTGTGCTACTGGCTTTGAAGATGGAATAAAGGGTCATGGACCAAGGAATTCAGGTGACTTATAGAAGCTGGAAAAAGCAAGGAAATGGATTATCTCTTAGAACTGAGGTAATGCAGTCCATCTAGCCCATTTTGAACTTCTGAAGACCTCCAGAATTTTGAGCCATTAATTTGATATGGCAGTATTAGAAAGTTACTGCAGAGAAAACGCTCAAGACAGGATCAAAGCAATCAAAGTAGAAGATTGCTAATTGCCTAAGGCAGATTGTCAAAAATCTTTTGAAAAATGCTGTATGTTGAAATTGCATGTTCAAAGTTTGACCTATTATTTCCCTAAGATCTGAAGCACAGGTCTCAGCCTCAGTAGTTCATTCTGGCCCTGGGAGTGAAAACCCTTCTGTAAGACAACATAGTGAATGGCTGAAAGTGAGGACTAAAGTCAGACTGCTTGGATTGGAATCCCATCTCACACATGGACGAACAGCATGACTGTGCTTTAGTCTCCTAATTTATGAATTGGAAGTAAATGTTTCTCTTTTGGAGGGTCACTGCGAGAAGTAAAGAAGATGCAGCATAGAGAGTGTGTACAACACTCTGCCTCAGGCTTTAGAATAATGTCTTTCACCCTGGAAGTATTAGTCGTTGCTGCTGTTTAGTATTATTATAGTGACAAGAGTGTCTTGCAGGATAAGGAATTTTGGGGGGGGAGAGGGATTGTGGAAAAATTGAAAAAATCGACAAGTTAATTATTGTAACTGAACAAAATGTCCAAGGGGAGACCAAATATTAGACATATGAAGCAGCCAGGTATATCCATACTGTCCAAAAACTCTAGAAACTATAAGTAAGACATTTATATCAGTCCCTCTAAAGTCAGGATCTGTGAAGGGTCTAGTATTTTATCCTACTCCTACTCCTATTTCATGGATGCTAGCCAAATATAGGAGACATCTATGCCAGAGATAGAGGACTTTGTTATTCACAGCAAATTAAGTAGCATGAGCATGAAGTTGGTGTCAATTCCCCATTCCCTTCAAGTCTCACAGAGATGACAAAGATGGACGGACTCTGCGCTCTGACTTATGGCACCACTTGAGAAACACTGGGCTTGGGAATCTACTTGACCTTATTCTTCAAGGTTGTTTGCTGCAGACACAACACAGAGAAATTGTTCAAATAAATAACAGTCTGGGTCATGTATTCTTGGCTGACCCAGCCAGAATATGTAGGGACATTCAGGGCTCATCTCAAACTGCCCCTCCTAACTATCTGTCCCTCAGCCAGATTGACCAGAGCTTTGAGAATAGCCTTGGCTTCTGTCTACTGTCACCAGGGTCAAACAGCAGGAATGCTACCAGCAGCATCAGCTTTCAGCTTAGCTTAGTTCTTCAAAGGAAAGTTTCAAAAATAATCCCAATTGAAACACCATCCCTGCTGATATGTTTAGCCTGTAATGACATATCTTTTGGCACTTTTCCTTTTAACAACACATCAATGAAAAGTATAAATAGAAGAAATAAAAAAATATGAAGTTTAACAACTATAATCCTTTACCTAGTTTTTTTTTTTTTTTTTTTAAGATAACTTCCAACTCAGCAATTCATAATATTATTATTTTCCTCCTAGGGAGAGGACCAGAATAAGAGATGCAGCTACACCTTATACCAGAGACCAGGTTCTCAGCTCTGGCAGTACCAAATAATAAATTAGCCTGGATCTTACCCTGGGATTCACCCAGAAGTGACTATTTTTCGATGTTTAGATCCCACCCCAAACCAGTCATATTTCTTTCTGGCTGGCATGTTGTTTTAAGCTGTTTGGGGGATTATATGAATAGTCTGGGTTAGAAAGTTTTGCCCTTTCTTTCTTTTTCTATGATGTTACAAAATTGTAATTGGTAATTAGTAGTAATTTAATATAGTCTACATTGGAGATAGAACCAATATAAGATTTCAGTTTAAGTTAATCATGAAGTTAAATCACTCACTGGAATCTGAATAATTTTATAAAGGGCCTCAAATCATAAAGCTTTCCTTTTTTGTTTTTTTAAAGATTTATTTATTCACACAGAACTGGGGTAGAGGCCAGAGGTGCAAGGTTGATGAGAGGATTCTCTAGAGACAGAGTGAGGAACAGAACAGGCCAACCAATGAAGTACACTGCGAAGGGAGCAGTGGGCGGGTCAGGAGAGGTCAGCCTTGCCATGTGGGTCACCTCCAGGGTGGGGAATTGAACTCAATGCTACAGTGGCCCTAGCTTCTTAATGTTGTGCTTTAATCAGCTGTGCTACCAGGGAGGGCCCAGCTTTCGTTTTTTTTTATTAACAAGCTGTTCTGGGAGAGATTTGCACTATTAGTTATACTGATGTTTTCATATTGTCAGCAAACTTCAATTTCCCACTTTTTTTCTAGTTTCCTGTTACTGAGGATGACCGGTAACTGCCAATACTCAGTACACTATCACTAAGGTAAAAATTAGTACTTTCTTAAAAAGCCACTAGATGGCACACCTAAACTAGTTTTATATCACCTGAGTGGCCATGAAAGCATTTTGATGTTATAAAATAGGATGAATGATGTGAAAAAATAATAATAAATATATTTTTAAAATAAAATAAAATAGGTTGGAAATTGGAACCATAAAACAGAATAAATTAAAGAATTCCATAAGTCATTGCTATGCTGCAGTGCTTGGAGGCAAAGCTGTTTATTATGCTTGGATTAAAGATTAATGTATAGGCAACAAAATAAAGATTAAGAAAATATATTAGGGCCAGCTTTTTGATCTGTGTATCTATTGTTATGATGTTAAGACAAATAAATAATAGCTATAAACCAAAAAAATAAAGTCACGTAATATATATAAAATGTGCTTCATGTTAAGCAGAATTCAGAAATGCATAAGGCATGGGCTCTACATTCAAGGAACTTTTTATCTAAAATTCCTAAGGTGGGGACATAGGAGAGATATGCTGCACATAGGCAGATATTTGTGGCTATTTATGTGGTAGGTAACCATTGGCTCCCTAAAGATGTGCACACCCTAATAATTCCTGGAATCTTTGAATATGTTACCTGTGGGCAAAATGGACTTTGTAGATGTAAGAAAACAGACCTTCAGAAGTTATACCTAGTGATTCAAATAGGCCTAATCTAAAAACACAAATTCTTAAAAGTAAAATGGTAAAGATAGAAGGGTCAGAGAGATATGATACTGCTGGCTTTGAAATTGGAGGGAAGGGCCCACTAGCCAAGGAATTCAGGTGATCTTTAGAAGCTGGAAACAGATTCTCTCCTGGAGCTTCCAGAAAGGAATGCAGCTCTACAGACACCTTGATATTTAGCCTACTCAGACCTATATCAATCTTCTCATGTGTAGAATTATAATAATTTCTGTTTTGTTTAGCCTTTGATTTATAATAATTTGTACAATATTGCATCACCTAACGATGGTGGTATATTTTGAGATATATGTCATTAGGCAGTATGTGGTTATGTGAACATCATACAATGTAATTAAACAATACTAGCTAGTATAGCCTACTACACACCTAGTTGATATGGTATGATCTATTGAGACTACTGTGCTATAGGTGGTCTATCGCTGACCAAAACATAAAGCAATACATGATTGTTTAGTAACATGTGATCTGATTGGTTCTACAACATAAAATATAATGTCATTCAACAGGTGCTTTTTCAAATATATATAAACTACAATAACATGTGACTATTATAAGAACTTTTTGAGATTATTTAAATACTTATTACTCCCAACAACTGTTATTCTGTGCCCTCTCATCTGTTTGTGTGTGTGTGTGTTGTGTTTTTGGAGGTTAAAGCTACACCAGTATCTTAAATAAGAAGGATTTGATGTTTTGAGGAAGTAAGAATAGTATCTGTTCTGTAGAGTCTTGTGGCAACCAGAAATCCAAACTGTAGAGTAAGTGGTAAAGAGGAGAAAAGGTGTCAGTTCTGTCTCTCTAGATAGAAGGAGGAGCAAGTGGGAGTTGGCTCAGCAACAGGAAGTATTAGGGGGGTTAACCAGGAAGTGCTTAGGATAAAAGAGGCAGTATGGTGGATACACATTTAATAGTGGGGCTTACAAAGAAGGCTACTATGACCTAATGCTGGTGCTTGGATTCATAACCACCTTCAGCTTGTCCTCTGAAACTCATTCATGCCCAAGTCCCTATCTCCACTCCCTGCACTTAACCTCCCCATGTCTGTCACCTATAATCATTCTTCTAACATTCATTATTTTTGTGGTAAAGTACACATATTATTGATTTCTTTTTAAAATAAGTAGTTTTTTTCTTGTCTTTTAATTTTATTTTAAATTGAGATAATGCTAGTTTACATTATTGTTCGTATTTTAGGGATACAATATCCTCCCCTTTCTTTAGGTGTTATTCCTGTGGTACAACCACCACCAAAGCACCCACTATCTACCCCATAGTCCAGAGAGCAGTATTCACCATTTTATGGTATAAAATTCAGTGACATTTAGTACAAAGTTGTGTAACCATCACCATCATATTTTTTCATGTTAATTTAGCCATTTTTCAATAGCCTGCAAA